TATTCGTTACAATTACTTTTTCAACCAAATTATATATATTAAACCCATACTAATATTTTTAGAGAGATAGATCTTTTAAAAATAGAAAATGAGCATTTTAAAAAAGACATTTACGAATTAGAAGAAATGAAGCAAAATTATATTGCAATACAAGAAAAACTAGAGATATTTAAGAACCCTGATATTTCTCTATTGAAGCTAGTGCTAAAGTTCCTGCTTCATGCTTGTTATCTGCTAATAAGAAAGAGAGCAGTGAAACTTCACAGCAACCTAAAAAAAGAAAAACATTATTATTTGCTTGACTTCTTATCAATAATGAATTACTAAAGGCTTTAAAAGAAGCAAACAAACCCCAAGCAGCAGGTCTAGAGTTCGATTCTCACCAGAGATATTTTTTAAAAAAATAGGCCTATGTTATGATAATATTTATTCAATGATCAGTTGAATATATTACCTGTAACCTTGGTACTACTATCTCGAAATAGAAGCTTTAGAGCGATTCAAATCCAAGGAACCAGAATAATTAAAACCCATTTGGCAAGATCTGAGCTAGAAGTAGTGAAGATCTTTGACGATATTATGGAAAATCAGAGACCAAAGAACTGGACGAACAACCCTGAGGCAAGAAGGGTCCACCAATCTGGCCACCAGAGTTACACCAGAGGAAAAGGTTCGATGCTATGGAATTCGAAACCAAAGGAAGTAAAAACCAGAAAGCATTTAAAGCCTAGGTATAACAGGCCTTCTAGGTTAACTAGTTTGGTAGTTAGGGAAAGATCAGTATAAGGGCCAGTTGAAAGTAAATATCAGGATCGAAATGAATCTTGTAAAGGGCAAAGAGTAGGTTACGGTAGCAATGCAGAAGATCGCAAGTTTCAGTTCTCAGATTGGGGCATATATTTCCACAAAAACCTAGGTGATACATATGTAGGACATGGATTGCTCTGGTAGATTTATCACAAGGATAAAGTAGTACTAAGGGGCCTTAGCAGCAGAAATTCTTCTGATAAAAGCATCTGACGGTACTAAGTCGATCAAAGGGTTTAAATAGAAGATCCACAAGCGAATCTTAGGTATAGCAATTGGTAAGTAACTATAGATAGAAATAGATATAGTGAAGCTCTTAATTAGACAATGACTAAAGTTGTACATGTGACCAATTGTACTCTTGTTGATATAACAAAGTCAAGGAGTGCCTATTCGGTATCCTGATAATTGAACTGAGAAGTTAATAAACCATGCCAGACCCCAAAGTGGTCACTTTAATATTAAAAAAAAAAAAAAAGAAGCAAACAAATTAGTAAAAAAAAAAGTTAAAAAAACTAAACAAAGAAAAAAAG